GTGTGTGTGTATATATATATATATATATATATATATATATATATATATATATATATATATATATATACACACACACACACACACACACATTACTGTGCAAAAGTCTTAGGCAGTCCAAAGAAATGTGTACTTTGGCTTACAACAAAAAACACAATTTAACATTAGAACATATGTGTGTGTCTTTGTGTATATCCTGTATGCATGTGAGACTGTCCTACCTTTGTAGTTGTCTTGTGCACTTGTGACATAATTTTATTGATTACAGAAGCATTCATAGTACACAGTTTAGTTTGCAAGATGGTTCCAGATAAAACAGTTATGTAACATGCTACATTATTTTGTTAACTAAAAGATTGCCAGTGGAATTGCATTAGATTTTTGCCACCCTGACAATTTAGGTAATTGAAATTTGAAATAAAGTGTGGCTGGTTTAATATTATTAGTATGGTTTTCACTTTTTTGCAGGTAGTTCTATATTTTTTTATATTAGGGAATATTAGGCCATAGATGTTATTCTCTTTCTGTTGATTGTTGTTATGAAGTGAATAGTTCATCTTTATCTTACTTTCTTTCTAGGTGGAGTGCAAACAAAATCAGTTCAGATTCTGCTTTCTATTTTATCTGTCTTGGGAATGACTATACTTCTACAATGAGTATGCAAGGAGATGACATAGTCATTAATAAAATGTAATGTATGGTTTCTTCTCTTCACTGTTACTATAATATAATCCATACTGATAAAAACACTAATCGTAATGTAATTGTCATTTCAATGTTTGTTGAAAAACACGTTGCTGACTTTACACATAATTGGACCCATGTTTTGAGCTTTACTGGCATTACTCATAACAGGAAAAAATATCTGTGTCCTGTAATGGGGAAAGATCCTGAGATCTAGAGAATTAAACAATTTGGGTAATATAATGACTACAGTACCTATTTATTATGGGCTACAGCATATGGAAGTAAATGTACTATGTTATTGTATAGTTTTTCAAATTTAAATTCTCACTCAGGGACATTTAGTAAATTTAAACCAATTAGTTTTTTTTTCTGGAACGATACGAGTTTCAGAGCTAAAAAAATTGTAATGATCGATATACAGAGGACTTGAAATGCTCTGGAAAATGTAGATTATCTGGCTGTATAAAACTGAATAAGTGCCAGAAATATGGCAGTGCTTTCATCTGACATTGGACAGCAACCTTTCCAACAATCAGGTCACATACTGATTAGAAGAAAATTATATCATATATATACTCAGTGAAATCATAGAGAATAAGTTTCTTTACTGTATTTCAAAAATGATTTTTATATACAGTAAAAATAAAATACATATTGAAAACATAAAAGAGTGGTTATTTAATGAAAATGTATATCTTAAGTTATACATTGTAGATCAAATAAAAATATTATGAAATGGACAAATGTTACATTTTTTTCAACTTCTCACTGTCCATTGTGAAAATACAATATTGTCTTTATGAGATGTAGATATTGTGATCACACATGCTTATGTTTATCAGTTTGCTTTGTATTAATGGGTCCTCTGCATCGTTATCTTGCTTATTTCTAGTGTCATTATAGTGTGAGTATCACTATATACTTTCATAGTACTTTCTGTGAAGTGCTATGAAACAGTATCTGATCAAGATTTTTTAGAAATTCTACTATTATGCAATGTTTGAGTGCTTGCATTAATCTCTCATGACAATAAACTGTATTATAAAGTAGGACTATGGAGGACGAAACATGACATAATCAAATAAATCAATAGATAAATAAATGGTAACACTTAAGGCCATGTTTTTAGTAGTTTATAAACATTCATAACAAATAATGCATTCATAAAGCATTATAAACATGGCTATAAATATTTATCAAAAAGCATAACACATTATAACCATGTGTATCATGAATTATGGATCCTTTATGAAGCTCTCATCTATAATGCACCTTTATAATCATTAAAAACATTTTAAACATAAGCATTAAGGGTGCTTTGTATTGCATTATAAAGGTATCTATAGTGCATCGTAGATGAGAGCTTCATAAGGCAGCCATAATGCATAAATTGTCACGTTCCGACAATGAATGACATTAGTGACCAGACTGGGGAGCATAGGACTGGGAAAAAACTATTATTCTAAACTTACGAGGGGCAGCTAGAGTGATCCACATGAGGGCTGAAATGAGAGGCTAGACAAATGATGAACAGGTGTGGCGCATTAGAGCCGCATTAGGAAGCGAGCAAGGGGGCAGGAATCTAGGGTGTGACATAAACATGGCTATAATGTGTTATCCCTTTTTTATAAATATTTATAGGCATGTTTATAATGCTTTATGAAAGCATTATAATACATCGTGAATGTATTTATTACTTACTAAAATCATGGCCTCAAGTAATAAATAAATGTATAGATTTATAGAAAAATAAATTAATTTAATTTTTTATTCCAAAGATTTATAGAAAAAAATATCGATTGTCTATGTCGATTGCTCAAATGACAAAACATTTGTCTGTCGATTAAACTTTACACTGTACTTCTCTCATCTTAGTAGCCTACTCCGTGTCGATTGACTCTTTACATTGCATGTACATTACATATCATTTTCATGCTTCGTTCTCCTTGTCGTTTGACTGCGTCGTTATGCATATCATCCTGATGTGTCATTTGACTGTGTTGTTGTGAATGTAATTTCAATGTGTCATTCTCCTCCTCTTTTGACTACGTCGTTATGCAGGTCATGCTGATGTGTCGTCTGACTTGAATGTTGTCTTGATGTGGTTTGTCTGTATTTTGCATCTCGTCCTGCTTTATTATTCTCCCTGTCCCTTATATCTCAAGTCTATCTAGGACTAGAAAAGGTAAAGAAATCCTAACTTGATTTTGACAAAAGTAGCCTTTGTGGATTCTTGAATAACTGTGAATGTTACAACAAGGCAACATGCAGATCAACACAAACAGGAGGAATAATACAGCAGGACTACAAGAAAAACAACACAGACAAACGACAAATCACAACGACATTAATAACAATACAGTCATATGACACATCCAGACAAACATACATATCGATGCTGTCAAATGACGAGTAGAATGACACATGTGCTAAGTTGACGGAGGTACAGCTTAAAGTTGAACTGAAAAACAAATTCTTTTTCAGGTGTACAATCAACATAGACAATCTCAGTGTCAAAAAAGTATTGTCACAGCTGAAGTACAGTTCAAAGTTATACAGACAGACAAATATTCTGTTACATGTTCAGTGACCATGAACAATGCACTATTTCATATTTTTGGCACAAATTGCGTGTCATTAAATGGTATTTAAGTGGCACGTTTTAGAAACACGAAGCTTGTGAATGACAGAACATGCGCTTGAAGTGCACTGATGGTATTTTATTTCATCTTTCATTTATATACATTTTATTGTAGAGTTCAACTGGTCCTTTCACGTGATCATAAAGTAAAGAACAAACCATATCATTAAAAACCTTTCAAGTTCATTATCAGAATTAAGCACATACTGTAGCTGAAAGGACATTTGGATTGCTGAAAATGCATTTCAGATATTTAGATAAGTCGGGGGAACATTACAATGCAACTCTCAGAAGGTCACGGCATTCTCTGTGGCATGTTGTATGTTGCGTAACATTGTCACGTGCGATGGATGTCTGTTGGACTTAAATGAGGACACATTAGAGGACTTTAGGAGGCGTGATGCTGAACTGCACGTGCTGATACCAACAAAGGAGTAAACGCCGACAGTAGTTCAGGCAAGATGGGATCTGCTGGCAGAAGATAAGAGCTGAATCGTCTGTAGCCTGGAATCTAAATTGAGATGTAGAAAAATAACAGCCCAATTGCCTTTTTTTAACATTTTAAAACACTTTAAAACTATAGGTTGTATTTTCAACAAAGATTGCACTTTTATTTATATTATTTCAAGGCTGCCGAATCTTTGAGTAAACCGTGTAATAATAAAGAAATACAGCACTGTCAAGAATGTAACGATTGATGCGATACCTCGGTACAGTACAGCGATAATGTTCATGTGTCACATTCAGCTCACTGAGAAAGAGCATGACATTGAAGAATCGACACATTATTACACTTAATACTTCATACAGTTCCACCGCCAGCACATCGATAGTTAGCCATGATGATGTCTCAGTTCCAACGATCACCACAGTCTCACCTGTTGCTGCTGAGAAGGGCACAAGAGGCTGCAAACTCCGCCAATGCTAACGATAGCATTACCTATCAGGTTAGCTCGGACCTGCATGTTGGGGTGAAATTGATGAAGCTATGAGGACATACTGGATTAAAATGGGACCTGATGTCCCAGATGTCGCTGCCTCAGAAAGACAACACAAACAACAAAAGAGGTACTTCTCCAAAATGCTTTTTAAAAGGAAACTGGCAAACGATGAAATGGTGCAATGAGATTGCTTTACTCTCCTTCAAAAGGCACAGTGTTTTGTTTTGCATGTAAATTATTTGGTAATGTTCCGTGCGCACACACGTTTGGCTATAGTGACTGGAAATATGCTGCCGTGCGCTTGGCTGATCATGAAGGATCAGAGAGCCACAGAAAGGCTATGATAGCAGATGTTAGGCGGTGTGCTGATGCTGGGCGCATAGATTCAGAACTGAAGAAACGGTTTGACAATGAATGTGGATTTGGACTGAGGTTTTAAAAAGGGAGGTTGCGGTGGTAAAAGTTTTAACAGAGGGAGGATTACCGTTCAGGGGACAGAGTGAAATCTTTGGGAGACCTGATAATGGGTGTGCTGCAAGTTATCAGTGAATTCGATCCCTTCTTGATGACACATATTGAAAAATATGGCAACATCAAAAACATGTTTAGAATTTATTGACCTGATGGGAGAGCGGGTTCTGGCAGAAATAATCAGTCAGATCAAAACATTTTTCAATTAGTGTTGATTCCACTCCTGACATTACACACACAGACCAGCTTACATTCATCATGCGATATGTGTCAACAAATGGCTGCATTGCAGAGCATTTTGTGAAATTTCTGCCAATTCAGAGTCATTCAGGAGAGTCCCTTTTCCAGGCTGCTCTTGGTGTGTTACAGGACATGCACATTGATATTAATAACTGCAGAGGCCAGTATTATGATAATGCTGCAAACATGTCCAGTAGTTACAGTGTCTTACAAGCACACATTAAACAGATTAACCCTTTGGTCGAATGGGTACCATGCGCTGCACACACTCTCAATTTACTGGGGCTTAACAGTGTTAACTGCTGCCTTGAGACAGAAGAATTTTTTTAATTTCATGCAGACACTTTTTAATTTTTTCTTTCAGATCTACCTCTCGTTGGCAGACAATTAGGGTTTAGAGCCTAATGAGAACCACAGGATAGAGACTTTGAAAAATCTCTCCGATACTAGATGGTCGGAACACGCACTAGCAACGAAAGCAGTACACCAAAACTATGCGAAAATTCAAGAGTTGCTGCTTTAGTTGAGTGCAGATTCCAACCAAATTCTTACGACTCGGGATGAAGCTAGAATACTAAGCAAAAAGATGGGAAAACTAGAAAATGCTTTTCTGTGTAACGTGGAACAACATACTGCAACGTTTTTACAAAACTAGTATTGCTCTACAGGCAGTGGAACTGGATTTATGTACAGTAATGCTGTTAATTTGGTCATCTTATTAAGGGGTTATGTGGCCAGCCTCCGGGATGATTTTGAAAAATTTGAGATTGAAGCAATTAACATGTCTTCCATTGTGTCACAAAACTACAAAGTGGACACACAGAGGCACAGAAAAAGGAAAAAAACAAGCAGGCAAATCAACGGAACCGGACTGTGACAAGTTCAAAGCAAGTTTTTATTGTTGTAATTGATCGACTCGTCGCAGTTGTGATATTGTATATTGAAATATTGTGATATCATTTTTAGGGCATATCGCCCAGCCCAAGTCAAACCAGTTACCTGGAACAAACTTCGAGGCAGTCAGAGAAATAAATCTATCAACAAAGTGTGCTCTTAGCATTTTCCAGTGTTACACCCTACTACAAAAGTTTATTTTCATTATTTATTAAAATTAGTTTCGACAGGCGGGCGCTGCATTGGTCTGTCAAGGTGAAGAAGGAGCTGAGCCAAAAGGCAAAGCTCTCGATTTACCAGTCGATCTACATTCCTACCCTCACCTATGGTCACGAGCTGTGGGTAGTGACTGAAAGAACGAATACAAGCGGCCGAAATGGGTTTCCTCCGCAGAGTGGCTGGGCTCTCCCTTAGAGATAGGGTGAGGAGCTCGGTCATTCGGGAGGGACTCAGAGTAGAGCCGCTGCTCCTCCGCATTGAG